CCCCGCGCTGCCGGGCCGCCCCGGGCGACAGGAAGCGACCAAGCCGGTCCCGCTTCATGGCGGCGTCCCAAGATAGACCCGGCCGGGCCCGCTCGGCGCACCACACACAGCGCGCGTCTTCGCCTCGGCCCGCTTGCTTAGGGTCCCTCGGCTCCGCACGGACCCACTCAGCCCGCGCGGCCTCGCTCGGCCCTGCTCGGCCCCGCTCGGCCCCGCTCGGCCCACCAGCACAGTGAGTCTCGGCTTCGCTCGACCCTGCTCGGCTCCGTTCGGCCCCACTCGGCTCTGCTCGGCCCCACTCGGCTCTGCTCGGCCCCACTCGGGTCAGTTCGGCTCGGCTTTGCTCCGGTCGGCCACACTCGGCCCAGCTCGGCATGATAGTAGAGGGGCGGGGCGTGGTGGGGCGGGGCTAAAGCCAGGGCGCGGCAGGGGCTGAGCTCGCGCGGGCTCGGGTCCAAGATCGAGACCCTGTACCACTGTGAGGGCGTCCTGGTGATGGTGATGCCACTCGGATCGCTTCCCGCTCCATCCGCGAGAGGAACAGTGCCCACCGCTAACGCCTAAAGAGAGCTGGCCTCGGGCCAGACATTGTGCTGAGCCCTTACGGCGGCTCGTTTAAGCCTCGTGACTAGCCCGTGAGGGAGAGCAGAACTACTCTCTCTTTTTACGGAAGGGGAACGAGGCACGGGCGGGCCGACGCTGTGCCCCAAGAGTTACGCGCGGAAGTGGTAGGCCCTGCTTGGCCCGCCAGCATGGTGCCTCTCGGCACTGGAGAACTTTTCAGAACACTTAGCCATGTTGCTTGAAGTAAAATTTCCTGATTTTTTTTTTTTTGCAATTTTTTATTCAAGTATATATACGTACAGAAAAGTACCCAAACCATAAGTGCAACTAGCGGGGTTGTCGGCAGTTAAAGGAGTCCTGGACGTAGAGCGAGGGCTCGGGCGCTCAGGACAGCTATGTAAGGACGTTGTCATCATTAATCCCCTTTTCCAGATGGGGAGACCTCGGCTGCAGGCCGAGGCCCGCGGCCCAAGGTCCGCTCCCGGACCTGGCAGGACCTGGCCTAGGAATCCCAGCCAGCCCAAGGTTCCGCTACCGCCGCCTCCGCCCCTTCAGCAGCGAAAGACAAACTCGGACAGCAGGGCTGGACGCCACGAGTGCTCCCAACAGGGACCGCCCCTTCCGGCGGTCCGTGGCTCCGGCGTTCCTTTGCCCGCGCAGGCATAGTTCCGGGCTCCCGACTGCTCGCCCCGCCCCTCGGCCGCCGC